ACATGTTCTCTCAGCTTAAAAAATTAACACTTTGATTTCAAGTTGACAAATTCGGTGCTCTTAACGTTTTCAAGTAGTTGTATTGCATTAAGGTTCCGACTGTTTGACCTGTCCATATGGGCCCTTTAAACACAGGATGATGGGAAATGGCACTGTTCTGTGTTCCTTTGAACGCTGCTGTAGAGGGCTGCTCTGAGAAGCTTCACCTTGAACTGATAAAAGCAATGAATTATCGCTTTGTTTATCCTGCTGCTCAAACTTGGAGTGCATTATCAAAGGACAGAGTGTATTTTTAAAATCTTGTAAATCTGGTGAATTTATGTCACCATGACTTGGGGACCTTACCTTGGCCTTCTGGTTTCCATTGGGATTGAGGCTCTAGTCCCGTGGTCTGTAACTGTGAAGTATTGCAGGCAGGATTTAGCACGCTGACCCCCGGCTCTCAGAGGGGTGCTCATGGTCTTCCCAGGCTCAGGGGAGATGACCAGAGCATTAGGCCGGGACCCCTCCCTTTGCAGTGGTCTCCTTTCTAATCAAATGTGTCTGGGAGTGATTTGGTTTGAATACTGGTGGCCCGGTCGGATGTGATGGTGTGTGATTGACGGGCTGTGATGCAGAGCAGGATGTCGGCAAGGTGAAAATACCATTAATGTTATTGCTCATTTCTTAAAGTGGGGGTGGCCACACTGTTGATGGAGGTTTGTCACCATCAACCTTCCCCCCCCACCACCACCACCCTTTATTCCCCCTGTTGCACTACGAATGCCCTCTCAACCTGAGCTTCACTCCAGTGACAAGCTTCTTCACTGATTCTGAACTTCACTGTTGCTCAGAGAGCTTCACACAAAAGTGAAGTTTTAACCGCTGATAATGACATCAGTTCACATTTCCTTGTTATGTTATAGCAGCTCTGCTACTGCCGTTGGTACAAAGGAAGAACAAAAACGTCCCATCATTGTGTTTTATGGCCCATAATTGCGTGGTGGGAGGCTGTGCCCCCCAGGTCTCCTCCTAATGGCTGTTTGTGTGTTGTTTTAGTGGCAGATTTACATGTGGGAGGGACGTAGGGCGGGGATTTACAACCAGCAGTGCCCCTGACGGGCTTAGTGAGTGACTGGCCCTCTCCCTGTGTGTTCCAGGTGATAGTGCAGTCTGGACGCCAGCCCAGCGTTCTGCAGAAACTGTGTCAGCTGCCCTTCCAGTACTTCAGCCACCCACGCCTCATCCGAGTGCTCTTCCCCTCCCTCATCTCCGCCTGCTACAACAACTCCCACAACAAGGTGATCCTGCAGCAGGAGATGAGCTGTGTGCTGCTGGCCACATTCATTCAGGTAAACATGGTCCCATATGTGGTATATGTTTGCACATAAATAAGTCATTCTTTTTCCCACAGATGCACACAGATTTCATGATTGTAATACCATGGCCAAAACAAATAAAAGATGTACTAAATATCAAAAGCAACATATGTCGCTTTATCTTTTGAAATAAAATGTCCAAACACAATTAATTATTTGCATGGGCTCGATAACAGTTGCTTCTCTGGAACACGGTGCATGTGTAACAGGCAGGATTTTACAAAGATAAATGTCTTCCTTGACAGTGGATTTACCTGCCACCGGTTCAACTCCCAGTAAACAGCTTGTCTCCTTCATCTTCCTCTGACAACACGCCCCTCACCACTCTGCAACCACCACTGTTTAGACACCGATTAACTTCCATTCAAAGGGGGACAAGCTATTGTCATTTCTTTCAAACAAAGCATTAATGCATGGGGTCTTACCCCGCTGCCCTTAGTGTTGAGTTAACCCAAAGAACATTCCTCCAGTTTGATCCTAAATGTCTTTATCACTCATTATACCAAAGATATTCATTTTGAATAGTAAATTTACAAGGAAAAGTAAAAGTAAACCCTGCATTATACCGTTATAGGTGGAACTAATACTTCTTATATTCTCCCCTAGGATTGTGCTACCAATGAGAAGGATTCAGACAACAAAATAAAGCACACAGGTAAGTTATTTTGATAAATATCAAATGCATAACCAAAAATGTGATATTGTATTCATTTGATATATTTGATGATATAATGCATGTAGGTTTCCCATATTCTAATATTAAGATAAACGTATTTCTTTGTACATTTCTTTGTGATTAATGTCTTTTATTTGAATGAAATCCTGATTCTTGCTAGTTTTAATAGGATGTCTGCCCAGTATAATGAAGCTGTTCTTCTCTGTGTGTGCAAAGTTTCCCAGCAGCTGGATTACTGTGAGTTGTCCAACCGCTTTCCAAGAGATCAGTGGGACTCGGCACTGCAATTTTTTTTCAAGAAACAGGAAGAGTGATGGAGATGCACACTGTCCTCAAGATGGATAAGCGTAGTATAAACACTTCTAAAGAAACGTGAGATGTGAAATTGGTTAGGTTTTTTTGTTCCTCACCTAAAGTCTGCACACTAGTTATATGTTCTCATATGTTCTTCAAACTGTGTCAAACATTAAGATTGTGAAGCCTTATCCTCAGTGTGTGGCTGTGTTTTGATTTATTTGAAATCAGATTGGAGTTTATGAGAAATTTGCACAAAATGTATTGTTGTTCTTTGCAGTTAGAACACATGCACATCTTTTTCATTTAATGTCTAAACGACTCATCTGTTTTCTCTTTGTTTCTGTTGTAGATAGAAATGGATGTGTTTTCCAAGCAGTTAAACCTGAAATATTTACTCATACTGTAATTTATAATATTCCAAGTGTTCTCATTAATACTGTTTGTGTTCATTATTGTATTTGTCTCATGTTTGAATGTGAATGGCCAGAATGTTATTTTGTTGTCTTCGTACATTAATGCCGGTTCAAAGTTACTGTACCTGGCCTGCCTTTATTACAAACTTGTGTTAAGAGTTATATTTGAGTTATACTTGTTATATTTCTCTGTTAGGAGGCACATGCAAATTAATATAATTTATTGACTTATTCACCTTAAACATGCAAAATAAAAAATATTATGGCTATGTATTGTTCTTTGATTTTACTGTGTGAACTGTACAACGTTTATTTGATACTATTGAGTCAAAAACTATTAAGACTCGGTGGTTGGTCTTGTATTTATGTCTTTTATAACCCTCAATTAAATTAAAGAAGATGTCCTTATTGGATCTATGATTTGATAGATACTTGCATACAAACAATGCTTTGTTTAATGTCAGAGAATGCGACTTCATCAAAATGGTGTGAAATGTAAAAGGAGGCGGTCTTCCTACTTGCCTTGCACTGATTTATTGAAAGTAAATTGATTGGTGTATTTAAAATATAGAGATTAGCAAAATAAGGCTTAAGAAATAAGATAGAAAATAACTCTTATTTTTTTTTTAAACTTGCCTTGCATTGCAGTGTGTAACTGCTGAAGCATTCATTCCAGCTTGCAGTTCAAATTTGAAGTCAGTGTTGATGTTAAATATGTGGAAGGTGTTGAAATGAATATTCCTTACATGTTTAAATGTGCTGTTTTATTTTGAAATGTATAGTGAGCATATATAATGTAATTGTTGGGGGCAGTTAGATAGCCCTGTTAGGTACGTTTCAAATTCACATTATCTTCTTAAATGTAGCTGTTTTAGAAGATACAATTATTAGCATGTCTTAAAGCCTTAACAGGATTTTGACTTTCAATGAGACTCTACTTCCTTCAACTGATAAAGCCGATCCTCCCAAACAAATTGAGGTGTAGTGTGTCAGTCCCGGCTTGACCTGCATGCTCTTTTGTCCAGCGGCTATTTGCCGGTCAGGATTCCTACTGGAATGAAAATAAACTGAAGACACGCCAGGATGCGTCCGCGGGCTGGGAGTCCCCTCTCGCGGCTACGCGCTTTGTTTTGGGTCCATTCAGTGTATCCTGCAGGTGATGCCAGCAGCAGATAAGCGGCCCCGCTGCCTCTCCTCTGTCTAGACGTGTAACCATAAGCCCCAGGTCGGTATGATACTGTGACATTTGTCTAAATAAGAAACATTTGATCGTTGTATCACCATTAGAGGAAAACCGCATTATGCATATTGATTTAAATGTTTGTTTTAACGCCATGATCTTCTATTTTATTTTTGTAAGAAAGAGGTTGTGATGATGCGTATTCATACCTCAGTCTGTCGCGTCTAATTCAGTGACCTATGACAGAGGGGCCAAAAGCTTAATAATATCTTGTCAGCCATCAGTCACTGATCCACTTGGCTCAGAAACTGAGCAGGCCTAAATATAAGCTGAGCTTCTTTACTGCCACCTCAGGGTTTGTGACCTGAAGCTGACAGATGAGCACCCAAAAATGTGGAAACTGAACATTTGTGACGCTGAAATATAGCTTGAGTTTAAGTATTTATTTGTATACGTTTTAGCCCTTGTAAAATGTTGAATTGTAGTACAGAAGCTGGGAAGCTATTTCAACTCTAACCTCCAACTCAAACAGTGTCAAGCATTATAAGCAGCCGTTTCCATTGACCTTTAAAATGATTCATTTAGCCTATTTAAGAGAAATCTTCAGTTTTACGAAACAAATTGAATTTGCATGCAATCATCATTTGAAACTATGGTTTTATTGATAAGCTTGGGCTATGTCTGTCTTCATAATAAATAATAATAATAACTTATTTTCTGTTTCATTAATTTACAAGAGACGATATTGAAACTTACAAATCATGCACATCTACACAGTTTGTATTCCTGATAAACACAATGTAACCTTAGGACGTCCAACACAGGCTCACGTGTTTGAATCCCGTAAAATATTCACCACGTTATGGCCAGTTCAGGTATTGGCATTATGGTAAAATGTCCCATAACTAGAAGCCCATTAAGTCCATCAACAGCCGTGTGTCCTGCCGAAGTGTCCTTGAGCAACACAATGAGCTTAAACGGCTAAATGTAAAGGGAATAGTCCTCCAATCCTCCGGGCGTCACATGAATTTATCCTGCAGCATAATCCGTCCTGGTCCTTTAATTCGTTTTTCTTTGATTGAATGTCACATTCTCTGCGCGTCCCCATGCAGAGGACGCGGGTGCGCGCTCGGCGGCTCCAGCTGACCTCGAGGCCTCTTCACGTGTCCACGGGACTCGGCACCATGCTGTTCGGTGTGTCCGGTAACTGAGACGAGAGAGAGGTCACATCACTGCCCGAGGAATTGCCCAGAGAGCCCGACTCAGAAAATGAGACCTGCCAGAGGAAGCAATTCAGGTCTAGTCAGATCAACAACAATAAAAATGTTACTTACTTTTTTTTAACAGATTGTTTTATTCTCACTTGCCACACTCATGTGAATTTGCTCATGACCAGGACTCGTATTGAAGTTGTAGCCTTGCCTATATTTTCTTTACATTTATATGTTTTGTTTTTTTCCCCCACAAAATATCAGACCGATCTATCAAAACAAATATAGACTTTACCGTATCATCATATCAAGTGACCTCACAGGAGTCCTACAAATTTGATAGGCTACAGCTTTTTTTATGGTTTGCACTTGAAATCAAAGGCGTCAATATTACTAAACTATCCAAGCATTGTTTTTAAACGAAATGAAGGACATCATCAGCGTTTCAAAACGTCTTAATTAAAGAAACAAGTCAAACAGTATTATTTTTTTATTAAGTTTTAAAACTCTTCTCTTTATTTTTCTGAATGTGAATTTAGCAGTCCCTTTGTATGATTTTAAACAGCCTATTATTTTATTTCATCATAATGTGTTAAATGTAATCCCATACCAGCTGTTGGAAGGCGGGCTGGTCCAGGTCGCTCTGTAGGGCGAAGTCGCTGAGGGTCTTCCAGGGGGGCTGGTAGGTCTGCACCTCCACAGGATTCCCCTGCACGCTGTTGTCGTGCCGGATCGGACTGCCTGCCACCAGGGGGGTGCCTGTCATGCCCTGCAGGTTCTGCAAGAAGAACGAAAAACACTTAGTTCGCCACAAATATTAGCCAATGATGCAGTCTGGTGTAAAGTCACTTCGGTTTAAATATGTCCTGCTCTGCAGCCACTAGAAATAAATTAAAAATAGCATAATTTTTTGTCATTTACGAATTATGAGCAAAAACAAACAAAAAATGCAGATAGGATGTAACTTCTTTATTACACAAAATTATGTAGAAATCCATTCTAAAATTGGCCATTTGTATTTTACATTTTTGAAATGTTTTAATTTGCGTTTAAATTGGCATATATCTAATTCTGCAGTAGTTAATATGATACAATGGATGTTGTCTATACTCTTCCAATGTATGTATGTACATTTATTTTCTATTTAAAAATCATTCACAATTTACCATTATTTTCTGATTTATGAAAAATACAAGCTACAATCGTTTATCAAATGACGTCAAAACAACAGTGTTTGTTTTACATTGTATTCTTAGAATCATATCCTTTTTTCTCTCACAATTAACAGTCTAAGTTGTGTTATAGGATTTTTAAATATTAAATTAAATCAAATTGTTATCTACAACAACATAGCCTTTTAAAATGATTCCCTCCTTTAATTTATCCAGCAGAGGTGTGACAATAAGATTGCACATTATTCGGTTGCCTGATCATTCACAATACTTTTTTTGAGTTTCCCATATTTTTACCAATTAATCACACGTTTAAGCAGGAGTTGCCAAATACATTGGGTTGTGGAATAGCATAATAATTCAATTTAAAAAAAAAAGTATAACATTACTCACGGTTTTCTCGCTGTGGTGCTGTGATTGCAGATGCTTCATCAGGATGGTCCTCTTCTTGTCTTTGCAGCGCTTGTTCTGGAACCAGACCCGGATCACCCTGGGGCTCAGGCTGGTCATCTCCACCAGCTGCTCCTTCATCAGAGCGTCCGGTCGCGGGTTGGCGTTGTAGCAAGTCCGCAGGGTGTGGAGCTGCTTCTCGTTCAGCACCGTTCGGATCCGGGTGGTCTTCTCAGTCTTGTTGTGGCCGTGGTTCCGGTGATGAGGAGGATGCCGGACTGACACTGGTTCTGAAGAAAAATATTATTTTGTATTAGATACTTAAAATAGTTTTTAAAAAAAAATACAACAAAGATATAGAAACACGAAATTAAAGAAACAAAACATCTGCAATATAAATATTAGCTTTGAAATGTCAAGCTATTATAAGGTCACTACACCCATAAAACGTTGTACACAAACGGTATAGGCCTTCCATATGCAACAATACAGAGGATCTATATAGAAAATATAATAAATATATAAATCATTTTCATCATTTATGTCAGAACCAAAATTATAACACGTGATATGAAACATTAATGCCCAAAACAAATATTCTTTTCTTCAAATGTTGCCTAAAAAAAACGTTTTCAACCAAGTTAAGCAGTAGAATAATAAAAATAATAATAGTATTGCCAATAATAATAATATTACTAATAATGCACAAGTGTAGGCCTTTCCAGGTGATTTTCGTGCACTATTTTTGATTAATAATAAACGGCGTGTTTCCTACCGGAGATGTGCAGCGGTCTGCTGTGGACGCTCCCCGGGCTCAGCGGGCTGCCTGCAGAGGCCCGCTCCACCAGCAAGCCGTGATCCGCCCGGCACAGCAGCTCATCGTCCCGCAGAGAGAACTCGTCCCCGGGCAGGAGGTGACGGCTGCACACCGAGCACCGAAAACACTCCATGTGATACACGTTATCCCGAGCTCTCATCACCAGGTCGCTGCTGCAGAAGCCCATGTTACACTTTGCACATTTGATGCCAAATAACCTGAAAAGGACCAAGGAGACTGTGTTGGTCTCATAGCCCTAAAAGTTGTTGAATTAAAGGAATCTGATTTCGATCTCTAGCCTACCCATTAACAAAAGCTTAAACAGCTGTGAACTTGAGAGAAATAAATAATAATAATCTGAATGCCTGCAACACAAATCTAATTCAGGTCCAACATACACAATTTCATTAGAACACCATATTTGCAGTATTATGGTTAAAAAAGGTTGAATGACATAGCTACAGTGAAGTTGTGCAATAAAAACATTAAGTCACAGATTCCTCCAACAATGCAACATAAATATTAAAACAATACAATGTGCAAGATCAGGAGTTTAGCAGCCATAGTTTAATCAAGCATGATAATAATATTGAATTTCCTCTAAATTGCTCCCTTTAATCCCCAACTTTCTCTTTTCTTTTCTCTTTCTGAACATCATGTAAATGCTGCATTACCTTGCATAATCTCTTTTACAGTAAGTCTTTCCATCCCGGACGAAGCAAGTGCAGGTCTCGTCCAGGTACTGGCTGCACTCTGCACACTTGAGGCAGGCTGCATGCCACTCCAGGTCCGGGGAGACTCTCAGGATGTACTGGTCGTGTATCTGACTTCCACAGCCCACACACATTGCGATTCCCGACTTCTCTGCGGAGGGGAAGGCGTTAATGCAACACTGTGCGCACTCTTTTAATCCCCATGACATCCCTGTTAAACCCCCTTTCCCCCTTCACATTAGGGAGGAAAAATGCTGCGTGTGTCACTACAAATATGTGGGTATTTCCAGGAATATTACAAAATTATTATAGAAAGAGTCACAGGAGCTAAAAATATCTCCAGTAACATACGGCATGTGTCACTTAAAACGCACGAACAGATACTACAAGTTTCTGTAATGATTGTTATATGAAAATTAGAGGGATTTTTCGTTAAGACAGTCAGTTGAACACGCCTAAGGTTCAGGTATTATCCTGCAAATGTCGAAATTAATCGTGCAATTAATCTTCAAAGTCAAGACACACGCCGGATGTGTCTTAAAAAGCATACTAAAAGCTGACAACAGAACCCCAGAATGGCAGTAAAAGGAGGGAAAGACGAGTAACTTACTTTTTGAATGATCCCCCATATCATCCAAGAAAGAAGTATTGAGCAGGATATCCACCATACAGGAGAAATAGCCCTGTGCAAGCCGACAGATGGAGGAGAAGAGCGGCAGAGGAGACCGTCCCGTCCCTGGCTGGATGAGAAACTTGTATTCCTCCACCGAGAGGTGGGGAGAAAACAAAGATCATCGACCAGTGACGTCTGCAGACCTGGACCGCTGTTGGTCCGGGGAGAGGGTGCCATGCAAATCTCCTCCAGGACCCCTGCTCTTTTTTCATGTTGACTCTTTGGACTGGCTGGGAGAATTTTTGTTGTTATTGTTTGTTTTTGTTATCTTTTTGTCCAGCAGCCCTGCCGACACATCTCTATTACTCTAAGAGCAATTTCGCTGTTTGTTGCTCACAGCATAATTTTTTATCGACTTACTGTAACATAACGTGTTAGTTTAGATTGTTATTGTCTTATATCACGTTTTTTTATAATAATAATATTTATTTATGGCCTCTTATTCGTGTTTTTTTATGGATCAACGCAGTATCCTATTTTTTTATTACTGTTTATTTTGTGAGTTTCTTAGTTGTTTTTTTTAATTGTCTTTATAAAAACATCTTGAATTGATCCATCCCCAAATATATTGAAGACAATGTTTTACTGGTTAGGATTTAGTTTAGGACATAAATGATATACATTGTAATATATTTGTATTATTATTGTTATAGTGAAT